AGCTCTGAGCTGCTAAGGCAAGCGGCTGAGCCTCCGAGGCTCACGCTGACTCGTACCTGCTTCTCTGCAGCACCTCCGTGTGGGCTGTGTCTGTGAGGCCGGACCTGGAATGCCTGGGTCTGGAAGAAGCCTCTGAGGTCCCCTGAGCGACCTGGCAAAGGGGCTGATGCGGGACTTGTGTTCAGAAGGTGGAGGGCTGGGAGAGCAGGCAGGCATTCACTGCAGCTTCCTTCCCGCCTGGCGGCTGGCTGCCTGCCCTGAACTTGACCTCAGATGACCTGTGTGTTCCCTTCCTGGAAACGGTTCCATTGCCAGGAGTGGTTGAGCTCCATCTTTGGCTCTCTTTCTTCGTCAAAGCAGGGACTTTGTCTCAGCTGAAACTGGCTTCTGTGGCTCCCAAAGTCTCCCCATAACCTGAGCGGGACCTTGCCTTCCTCTCTATCGCACGCCAGCTGAGTGTCTACTGTTAGCAACCTGTTCTTGCCTCCTTGTCAGCCTGCATTGTTCCTAGTTTAGAATGATAACTCTAAGAGTGCGAGATCATCATATAGATAAGGACATAAAGACTAAGGAGGGAGATGTGAAATGCCCCCACCCCCATGCCCTGACCACACAGCTAGTTAATAGATTAGCTGGACCAGCAAAGGAGTTCTGACTTGCAGGCTGATGCTCTCTGTCCTGGCTATGAATTGCTTAACTCCATACTCCTCATATTCATTAAGGCGTGGAGATGTGGACCTCGGCTAATTTGTAAGTCTGGATTAATGCCAGCATCTTGAAATTGTCCTTGTTAACAACACCACGCTTGGATGTTTTGTAGATTGGGTTGATATGAAAAATAATTCCAAAAATGCCTGGATTTGCCCAGTGTCACTGATTAGCGTTGCCTTAGGAGACTAAATCCAGTATTAGCCTCAGTAAGGGGAAGGAACAGCAACATTTTCTCCTCAGTCAAATGCGTAAGATACACACAGAGCATACTTACCAAACAAAGAGACTGATTTCTAAGCAGCATACAAACTAGAATTTATTAATTCCAAATAGGCTGCAGTCGCTGAAAAACCTTTTCAGACTTACCTTTGGAGCCAGTTTATGGGTCCCAGTAGAGAGCCAGGCTCTGTTCGCCACTCAACAAGAATACGTTCAACATCTGGGTCCCAGGCGCTATGCAGGGCGCTGGGAATACAGTGGGTAGACAGACACAAACATGTAGCTTATAAGTGACCTCTTCACTTCAAAACTAAAATGTCTTACCTGGGTTTGAATACCACCTCATCATCAGGTTTGGTTCTAAAGATATTTTTGGCTGTTTTCTAAAATTAAGCTCCTCTTCAAAGGATAGAGAATGAGTTCACCATTGAAAATACTGAGAAAAAATGTAGCATAGACAAAGGCAATCTCAAAAGAGGAATTCCCAAGACGTTTTAAGCAATGGCCGCATAACCTCCCAGGGAGCCAATTTAGATAAGAACATTTATTTGGAAGTAGACATTCTGGGGTGTTTAAAATGCAAAGGCACATTTTCACATTTTCTGGAGGCCAGCCACCTCTCAAGCAAGATGACCAAATGGTCTGAACCAACTCAGATCTATTGGCTGCTGTCCACCGCCTATGAGCCCTCGGGCTAGGACTGCCCCTGGGCATCCACATGTGACAGCACCTGCCTCCAGGATCTCCGAATCAAATCAAATTACAAGACTGACACAGCTTAGAAACAAACCTGCTTATTTGCATGGGTTCTCATGTTGCCAAGGATATTGCATTGATCAAAGATAATTGCTATCCTCTGAGTTTCCAGGAGAGAACAAAGAACACATTCTATATGCTTTCTCTTTCACACAGCACTTTCTCATTTATCCTCTCCTTGAAGCCACACCTCAACTCGTGCGGCAGGCATTAAATTTTCCCATTCTACAGATAGACAAACTAAGGTTCAGTTAAACAACTCACCTGAAGCACACAGCTCGAGAGGGCCACTCATGGGGGCTTGAAACCATGACTTGCAATTCCTCCTTCACCAGACCACTGAACTCCTGCCCAAACTCGAGATCGGGAGTGTTCATAGTGGTTCCCAATCTGGCTGCACATTAGAACCCCACCCAAAGCGTGATCAGATGTTGCCAAGGACACGAGTCTCAGGCCCCCATCCAGGTCCATTCAACCAGAATCTCTGAGTGGCCCCTGGGCATGGGTACACCTTAAATTCTCCAGGTGGTTCCAATATGCAAAGTCACAATCATTCTAGTAGGAATCAGGATTTGCTTCCTTCTCTCTCAAGGACTTGCTTTAAGGTGTAGATGTTCCCCTTGCCTTTTCTCAAAAATAATTCTCTATTCTATTATAGGAATAATATTGATTGTTGTAGAAATTTTAGAAGAAAGTTATGAAGAAAACAAAAATCATCCAGAGATCCATTGTTAATATTTCGATATATTCTCTCCCAATCTTTGTGCATATTTAGTTTTTTTCTTTTTGCAGAAGAAGATTTGCCCTATCCTAAATCTGTTCCAATCTTCCTCCTTTTCTTCCCTCCCCAAAGCCCCAGTACTTAGTTACGCGTATAGTTGTAAGTTCTTCTAGTTCATCTATGTGAGCCACTGCCACAGCATGGCTACTAACAGGCAAGTGGTGTGGTTCCATGTGCGGGAACCGAGCCTGGGCCGCTGAAGCAGAGCATGCCAAACTTTAACCACTAGGCTATCAGGGCTGGCTCACAAATTTTTGATAATATAATACATACAGATTATTTCATTTTTATTTCATATGGTAAATACTTTCCAATGCTACCAAATATTTTTCAAAAACTATTTTAATATTAAAACATAAAAGACTTTTAAAGATATGGTCCACGTCATGAACAGTGATTAACACTGGACTGCAGATTCTTTTAAGATTTTCCTTTTTGCTCATTTGTGTGTTCTTTTTTTTTTTTAAAGATTGGCACCTGAGCTAACAACTATTCCCAATCCTCTTTTTTTTTTCCCCCTGCTTTTTCTCCCCAAATCCCCCCAGTACATAGTTGTATATTTTTAGCTGTGGGTCCTTCTAGTTGTGGCATGTGGCACACCGCCTCAGTGTGGCCTGGTGAGCAGTGCCATGTCCGTGCCCAGGATCTGAACCAGTGAAACCCTGGGCCAGAGTGCGTGCCCCACTTGGCCAAGGGGCCAGCCCCCATATATTCTTATTTTTCTATAACTAACCTGTATTTGTTTAATTTTTAAATAATTTAGATCATTATAATGGCTGCATCATGTTCTAATGTGCTCATATCCTATAAATTAATCATTCTTTAATGTTAGTCATTCTTTAATGAAAAAAATAAAGGAAAGTCTTCACCTGGGGCCCATGGTACAATCCTAAGACTCCCTCCCTTTTTGAATACAGAGCAGAAAATGGGCTTCTCACTTTCAGGGTGGGGCAGTCTATTGCGAGAGGCTGCACACTGTTCTTACTATAAAGTCTTTCACGAAGATCCTTGTGCCTAGATTTTTGTGCACCACTTTCCTGGAAGTGAAATGATTGAGTTAGAGGGTAGAAACATTTTGAAGGTTATTGATAAACATTGCTAAATTGCTTCCCAGAAGGGTACACACGATTATGGTCCCATCAGGGGTATATCTTGGGAAAGAAAATTGTTGCAGTCTTTGCAAAATTGAGTATTTTCATTGCGTGATCTGTCAATTTGCTATGATTACTAATGAGATTGAATGTTTTATATTTTTATTTATATTTCTTCTTTTGCGAATGTTCACATCCTTTGCCCTTTTTTTCCCTTTTGGGTATTCATCTTTTTCCTTACATACTATATAACACTTCAATGTATATAACACTTTTCCTGTTCATTTCTTTTGTAAATATTTCCCCTTGGTTTATCGTTTAATTTGGGTTGTTGACATACAGAAGAGTTTATTGATTTTATGCTTAGAAATACCTTTAGATTGCTGGATCAGGTAAATAGTTACCAACATTTTCTTCCACGGGACTCAGTGAATACATCCTGCTTATACAAGAACAATTTGTCTGGTTCAGTAGGATTTTATTGGTTTGGACTAAGAAACAGTCTATCTCCTATAGGAACCTGACTTGGAATTATCAAAGCACAATTCTTCGGTAGTATACATTCCTTGAATTACTCTATCCGATACAGGATAATGTAAAAAAAAAAAAAAAAGCAAAACATGTTGGTAGTTCCCACCTACTTTGTAGGGCAAAACATTTTACAAAGCAAACAATAGTGTGCAGTTTCTCACAATAGACTGCCCCACCCCAAAAGTGACAATGCTCATTTCTGCTCTGTATTCAAAAAGAGGGGGAGTCTTAGGATGGTGCCACGGGTTCCAGGAGACTTTCCTTCAGCCCAAACCTGCCTTGCTCCCATACCCTGGGGACAGACTCTAATCCTGAGTAGGGCTGCTCTGGCAAGGTCATATTGGACATGTGCATACTAAAAAATTATTTGTTGTTTCTCTGACATTCAAATTTAACTGGACATCCTGTGTTTTTATTTGCTAAATCTGGCAACCCTCACCCTGAGGTTTTCTTTCAGTGTTGATGTTGGGGCCTATGTCCCAGGAGTGCCCACAGGAAGCAGTAGACAGACCTGGCACCTTTGGCATATACCACATGGGGAATTTACCTCGTTCTCCAAGAGCGCTCTCAAGGCCAAGGGCAGCTTCCTCCCTGGGCCACTGAGATATTCTCAAAAAAACCCACTTCTCTACACACATGGCCATGTGCTTATAAACCTAAGCTCTTCCCCCCAGCCTCATGGGTTGCTCCCAGGCTTCCCGCACTTCATTGTACTTCTTCCTTTTTCTAGCAGCTGTGAGGCTCCTCTTGAGCCCGTGGGTCACTGCCTCGCTCGGGTGCCCTTAGCCCACTGCACATTCCTGTTTGAGTGGCCAGTCTACTTGTTCTCTGTGGCCTCTTTCTGCCATTAACACCCTATTTTCTGTCTTACAGGCTTTTGATTCACTACAAATAGATTGCTTTCCAAAGGCTAGATGTTCATCTTCATTTATTGTGGTTTGAGATGGCCGAATATCAAGTGGATGCAGGTCATTGCCTAGTCATGCCACCATTAGGACAGTCCTAAAGAATGGCAAGAAGACCGAGAGACATCAGCTGATAACTCCCTCCCTGGTTTAGCAGATAAATAGTGCAATGTTGGGAACACAGTGTATCTCCCCAGGAATGATGCTAGAGTGACTTTGAATGACTTGATCCATATGTGCAGGTGTCTCCAAGAATGCCTCTTCCAGCTCAGCGAGGGCTGCCTGTGTCCTTTTTATCTCCAGCCTTCTTAGCCCTGCTCCCTGAAAACTTCTAAGGCAGAGCTGCTCAATCTTCAGGGTGCCTACGAATCACCTGGAGGTCTTGTCGAAATGCAAATTCTGATTCCGAAGCTCTGGAACTGCTGAGATTCTGCGCTTCTACAAACCTCAGTGGCGCCGCTGCTGCAAGTCCACTGCTCGCACTTTGAGCAGCAAGAGTCTGGAACTTCTTTTCCCCACTGGCTGCAGGATGGCCCAGGCACCTGGTCTTTTCAATTCCGGGACTCTGGGTGGGACTGCCCGGGACCCAGGAGGTCTGAATCAAAGGCAATATGATCCACATCTGTGAGAAAGGAGAGCACGATGAGGGCAAGGGAGGGAGGCTGGAGTGGGAGAGCAGGGTAGGGGCAGGAAGCCTGAGGGAGGGGACGAGTTCAGGACCCTTCAGAGTGAAGCTGACAGGACCTAGGGCTGATTGAACGTGGTGGGAGGGAGACGTTTGGAGAACTACTGTCTCCGGCTGGGGAGGCTGAGTAAGGGCTCCACTCAGCGCCAAGCCTCACCCGGGGCACCTGGATATCATTTTCTCTGCTGCCTTAGATAATACACAATATCCTCTCTGATTACTGTATATATTTTAACTCTGGTTGTCATGGCTACATATGGTTAAAATATTGGAAGACCCTTTCCCTATGAAGTAGGAAGAGGAGTCAAGGGGGGGGGGGAATGGAAGAATGAGACAGTGTGAGTGCCTATTGTATACCAAGGTCTGAGATGGGACTTTGCCAGAGCGTGGCTCATTTGATCCTCTGCAAAGGAATCTGCAAAGGAGGCATCATGAGCCCCACTTTCACAGATGGGAATGAAGCTCGGAGAGGGGAATCACCTCCCCCACAGTCATAAACCAGAACATGGAGGAGCTGGAAACAGAGCCCAGGCATCAAGAGGGAGAGTGTCAGTGTGCGGGCGAAGGGGAGGTGTTGTGAGGGGGCACAATGGCCAAGTGGGAAGAACGGGGTCTCTGAGGATTGGGCCCCCTGCACTGCACAGTTCCTGCAAACGGGGCTGGACTCACCCATAAGAGGATGTGCGGGAGGGGAGCCTCAAGGATGAAAGAGGTTTGATATCAAGTTCAGGTCTCAGACGGGACAAGCGGGCTCCTGCTCAGCAGGAGATGGAGTGGGAGCAACCTGTGGAGGTAAGATAATGGGACAGACCGGTGGAAGCTCAACCAATCTTGGAGGGACCCTCCGTCCTTCCTATGAAGCCTTTGCGCTCCTCTGACTGGACTCTTGGGATTCATAGTTCAGGAATTTCACAGTTTTTATGCTATACATATTTTTGGTGGTTTCCTCTCCCCTACTCCCCACCTGTTTTTTGGTTTTGTTTTGTTTTTTTAACAAATTCCTTTAAAAAATGCTGACCTTATTGGAGGATTTGATGTTGAAGTCTAACCAAGAGATGGATCACAGGATCTGGGCCCAGCCAGTTTCCCCCACCTGAACCTCAGGCCCCTATATGCACTGCTTCCTGGATCTCTCTGTGGGAATGTTCCATAGACACCTCAACCAGGACACTGTCCTCATTCGGTAATTTACTCCTCCTCCGGCACCCTTGGTGCTATCATCTACCCTGTTGCTTCTCCAGAAACCTCCTCCTTCTCTCCTCATCCAATCAGCCCCTATCCTGTTGATTTGACTCCTAAATCTTTCTCGCATACTTCCTCCATCCCACCACCACTCCTGTAATGGAGACCATCATTTTTTCTCCTCTGGGTGCCTGCAACAGCCTTCCCGCTGGTCTCTCTGCCTCCATTCCCCATACCACAGCCAGCATCGAGCAAGATGTGGTCCCTGTCCACAGCCTGGTGGATAGAACAGACCTAGGCACTCTTACTACATGATTGGTGGGCCCAGTCTCGTGAGACCATCAAAGGCTTCCTGGAATGTCACCTGAGTTTAGCCAGGAAGGATGAGTGGAAGCAAATGGCAAGAAGGCAGGAAATGCTTCTGCCAAAGCTATGCTGTTTTAGAAGCTTCCTTTAGCAGGCAGGCCCCAAGTGACACATACACTCTGAGTCCTTTCCTTTGCTGGATTCTTTCTTTATTTACAAATTAATTTATACTGAGTTTGCCCTACTGCTGCTCACCTCTTCTACCATGCTTCCCTCAACTCACGTATCTTTCACCCAGGTCTAAATCTCTGAACCTGCTCTAGTGCAAGGAATGACAACCCATTAGAGTGGGAATCTCAAGTGTATGTCCCCAAAAGGGAAAAGCACCCTGGAAATGGGTAGAACTGATTGTATTACACATACCTCAAATGCACACATACACATCCACCTCACACACACATATTCCCTGTGTGTTAGCTATTAGTGCTGTTAACCAAATATTTGCGCTTCTCCTTTCAGGCCCACAGGAGCATTTGCATCTATTGCACTTCCCTGCCCCTTGTGACTTGCTTTGGCCAATAAAATGAGAGGAGAAGTGATGTAGGTTACTTCCAAGTAGAAGCTTTCAGAATCAGTGCTCAATTTGTCCTATCCTTGTTTCCTGCCTTCAGAGTTAAGTAGGCAACACGTCCAGTTGCAGCAGCCTCTGTCTCTGAGTAGGTACAGGAAACAGAGTTCCATTGACCCACGATGGCTATATTTCATGATTGAGAAGTAAAATTTTGTTAAGTCAAGCCACTGAGATCTGGGGATTGTTGGTTACTGTGGCACTGCCTAACTGATCCTGACTGATACACGCAGTTAAATCAAGGATGAGGGCACCAAGACCTGTATCCCTGGTGAGTAATCAGTAACCTGAGCCTCTGAGTCCATCAAAGTTCCCTTCCTCCTGCCCAGCGCCCTTAGGCTGGAAGATTTCCAGGTTATTTCATCTCTTTCCCATTACGATGGGGACCCTTGCATTCTCCTTGTAAGTTATGTAGTCTTTTTGATTCAATCTAAATTCAAAATGAAGTCACAGAAATAGTTATAAAACGTGAAAGCATTTGCTGGGTTATTCAAAAGCATAGTTTAGATACCCTTCACATGTTGCACTAACCAATGCATGTCCAAAAGCAATCCACTAACGAGTCTCCCTTTCCCCAGGAGCAAAACGCCAGCTTCTGCCCCATATCAGCCCCGGCCCTGGGAGGCTAGTTTCAGAGGTTCTGGATTATAGGCCTGATGCTGCCACTTAGTAGTGAATGACCTTGGACAAATTACCTCTCTGGGTCCCAGTTCCCTTATCTGTAAAATGACGATGATAATAGTAATAATAACTATGTCACAGAAAGAAAAGGAAAGTAATATTTGCACGTTTGGCGTATTAGCCGTTCTGTGCAGACAGAACGGTAATGTGTGTGGAAGTGCTTTGAAAAGAGAAAGCTCTATGCAAATATTAGCTGGTGTTATTTCTCAACCAATACATGACCAAGGAAGAAACACATCCCAAATCAAATGAACTTCCCAATGCCCTTAATCTTTAAAACCGAGCCCAGGTGTGGACATCCATGTATATTTACATTTCTGCAAAACGTCCCATTAGTGCAAAGCTCATTTTTCAAATAGGACAAATTGCTTATTAGCTAAAGAGAAGAAGCCAAGTCAAGCACCACAGACAAGGTTAGTAACACTCAGTCATTTGCAGCTTCCGCAGACACACAGCAGTGTTGGTTCCACGTGGTGACATCCCTAAGAACCACACGTGCACACCCAAGAATACTTCTTGCGCCCTTTGCCAAGTGCTGCGTCAACTGCAGCTCATCAATGGAGCTGGAAATCCTCCTTACTCCCCAGCCCCACCTCCAGCCCCATGCCGGGAAACGCCCCCTGCGCCCGGATAGTGCCTGCAGTCCTGCAGGCTCCTACCCCTGCTTCCAGCTTTCCCTTTCTAGCCCTTGGGGCCTGCGCCGCCAGGTCCTGACCTTGCTGGAGCCTTGGCCTCAAATGCTCTGCCCTCGGCCGCTGGGGGTGGGGCCCGCCACGCCAGCTATAAAGGGAGCCTCCCTCTGTCTGCCTCCTCTAAGCGCCTCAGGCCTGATCTTGGCCGCTGCCTTGGTGCTGAACTTGCTTCTCGCCGGCTTCCTCTAGTCCAGCGCTTCTCAAACTTGAGCCTGCATCACCTGAAAGGCTTGTTAAAACAGAGCGCTGGGCCCCACCCCCGGAGTTTCTGCTTGAGTAGGTTTAGGGTGGGGCCCGAAAGCTCGCATTTCTAACAAGTTCCCAGGTGTTGGTGATGCTGCGGTCCGGGAACCACGCGTAGCGAACCACTGCCTCTAGTTTAATGCGGCTCCCAGATACAGAGGCTCGCTCTGCGCCTCCACGCCCGCGCCAGCTGCTCTCCGGCCCTGAGCGGCTGTGCGGACAGGGAATAACGGGGCAGCACAGGAGGCAGCCCACCGGGGAAAGCAGGGCCTGACGATCTTGGGCTTTATCTTGGGGGTCCCGGAAAGGTTGTGCGGGTAGGAAAGCAGGAAGGAAAAAACCTTGAAAGTCTGTAGGTTCTCGGTGTTACCGTGATATTTGATTGATCAGGTTCTACTGACCTTCATTCAACACATATTGATCGGGTGCTACATCTAGGGTTGTAGGGGTGAAAAGACAGGGTCCCAGCCCTTTAGGAGCTCATAGTAACTGGGAGGGAAATGCGTAAACAATTGCAACGCTGATAAGATAACCGTTCCTAGAGAGGGAGTGTCAAACTTATGTGGAGGGAGGGTGAGGTTCTGGAAGCTGAGTGAGGAGTCGGAAAAGGTTTCATGGAAGAACTAGCATTTATGCTGAGACTTGCAGGATGAGTGGGAATTTAGCAGGTGGAGGGGGTAGGTGGGAGGGGGCGAGGTGGGGAGGGGTTTCCCCAGGCAGAAAGCATGAGCAACAAGACTGTGGAAGTGCACAGTTCCAGGGTGGGAAGCAGCTGGGAAGACTTGACAGGCAGGTCTCAGGCCTGGGCCCTGTTCCCCTCTTACCTCTCTGGCGGCTCCTTCTCTCTCTTGCTGGCCCCTTGTCAGCTGCTGTCCCCCATGAGCTGGTGTTCCCCAGGGCTCTGTCCCGGCTGCCACTTCCTCTCACTTTCCATGTCCACTCCTGGTGAGCTCCTCCACACCTGAGGCCTCACTTAAGATCTGCTCACTGACGGGGACCACGTGTGTGAGTCCAGCCTAAGCCTCGCCCCCTCGGCTCCACACTCACTTCCACACGGATGTTGCCAGGCATCTTTTGTCTTGTACTCTGTCTTGGTGAATGGCAGCAGCATCCACCTAGTTATCTAAGCCAAAGGATTTTGTGAAATGACCCTCTTGTAGATAGCTGGTGAAGAGTAAACTGGCCCAGTAAATTGCTGGTGCCATTCCCCAAGACAGAATACAGGAGGAAAGATGCCAGGCTCAAATTCTGAGTCTGCAGTTTACTAGCTGAGTGACCTTGGACAAGTTCCTTAATCTCTCTGTTTCCTTACCTCTAAAATGGGTTTAATGGTAGTATCTACCTAAGGATTAAACAATAATTGATGCCATTTATTAAGCCCTATGTTAAGTACTTTACTTGGATTCTCTCTCGGAAATGGTGAGTATGTTGTCCAAGGTCATGCTGCTAGCAAGTGGGGGAGCCAGGTCTGGAACCCAGAGTTCTCTGGCTTACTGAAGCTACCTTCACTTCACTGTCACACTGTCTATCTGGAGATTGTATAACAAAGAGGGAAATGCTTATGGTATAACGTTAAGTGAAAAGAGGACAGCAAATTGCATAATCAGTGTGAGTACAACCCTGTTATTTTAAAAAAAGAAACTAATCTACAAATAGAAAAGGCTAGAAGGAAATATAGCAAATGGTTAAATCTGGTTATATATGGGTGATGTTTGTCTTCTAATTCTCCGTATTTTCTACATTTTCTTTAATATATGTAATATTTTTTAAAAGTGAAATTATTTAACACATTAAACATTTATTACACTAAAAACAGTTACAAGTCCACAACCTGTTCTCATGTTTGACTGAAAATTACACTCTATTGGTGTCTCTTCTCATTTCTAGGCTTAGTTTCCTGAACAGATACTCTTCAGTCCGCTCCAAGGCCAGGGTAGGAAGTAGACATTGCAGTGGTGTTCACTGCGCGCCCCGCAGCTGACAACCTGGCCACCCGAGCAGGCTGTCAAAATCAGGCCCGTGAGGAGGCAAGTTCCAGACGGAACTCGGGCTTCTACCGCCTAGGGCTTTCTGGACAGCGCTACTTGAGATCAGTTACTTTTTTTTTTTTTTCCTTCTAAATAGCCGGCCGAATGCTCTTTTTCCAGTTCTGGCTGAGTTGTTAGCTTCAGCCGGTTGGGGACGCCTGCCAGGTACCTGGCTCCCTGAGCACCGCCCAAACTGGTCAGGCCAGTCAGCCCCTTGGTTGTTTCTGCCAGAACTTGCCCGCGTGTGTGCGCGCGTGTGTGTTAGAGACCCACCCTTCTCCCCAGCAACCCAGGTAGGTGGAAGGCAGCTGCCGGCACCAACCTGGCAGTCAGGCCAGATGGGTGGAGCTGAATTAATCTAACCTGGAATTTCAACTTGGCGGGCACAACAGGTGAGGGGAAAAAAGCTGCAGACAGAACGGGCAGTTTGGCAACTTGGAAATATTCTTGTGCCTTGCTCCTTGCCCCCTGCCTGGAAAATAGCCCGGGGTGACTTTTCAAAGTGTCTGCACCGGGTTATAGGGCTCGGTTGCGCCACGGCCCCCACGGAGGTTGCCCGAGCCTCTCCTGAACGTTGTCCTCCTCGGTTACCCTCCGCGACGCGCCCGTTCCCCCTCCTCCGGGAGGCAGGGCGGGGGTATCGGATTAGTCTTTGTTTTCGACGCGAAAGAGCCGAGCGCGGCGCGGGGGAGGCTGCCGATGGCAGGGCCCCGGGGTCCGCCTCGGAAGGGCGCTCGGCCGTGACTCCCGCGAGGGTGCCCCGCAGCCGGCCCGGGGCCTCTCCCCCCGGGGTCCCCTCTCCTTGCCGGCCAGGCTGACTCGGTACGCAAACGCGCGATGTCCCCCATTGTCCTGCCTCGGAATGAGTGAGCGGCAGCCGGGAGAAGGGGGTCAGCCGGGCCCGGAGCTCAGGGCTCCCAGGGGCGCCCGGGCCGTCCCGGACCGCTCGGGCCCGCAGGGAGTGGCAGGAAGTGGGGACACCGAGGCTGGCTCGGCCGAGGGCCTAGGCTGGGAGGTCCGCGGGCCCCACCCCGCGCGGCCCGCCTCGCCCGCCCGGGCTGCAGAAGCCCCGGAGGGCGGGAGCGGCCAGCCCGAGGGGGGCGGCCGGGCCGGGCGAGGGCCGCCCGCTGGGGTAGGGAGGTTCTGCAGGTGCAAAGGCGCGGCGCCGGCCGGGCCCTGCCCCCACCCGCTCGCCGGCCGTCCGCTCCGTCCCCTCCCCACCCCGCGGGCACTCCCCCCTCGCGCAGCCCCGGGCCCAGCGGAGCCGGCGGTGGCGAGGCCGGCGGGGCTCGGCGGGGCCGCACGTGCGCGCCCTCCCGGGCGGGGGAGTCCCCGGGCGAGCACGTGCCGCGGCGCGCGGGGGGCGGGGAGTCCCGCGGACGCCTTCATTGCTGCTGCTGCTGCCGCCGCGGCCGCCGCTGCCTCTTCCTTCCTCCTGCGCCGTCCCCTCCTCGGCCCGGGCGGGGGGCTCCGCGCGCCGAGCTCGGCCGGGCCGGGCGCTCCGGGAGGCGGGCGCCCCAGGCGGCGGCGGCGGCCGCGACGGTGGTGGCAGCGCGCGGGCCGGGAAACTTTGCCCCTTTGTGCGCTCCGCCCCGGAGGCGGCGGGCAGGTCGGTGCAGTCGGTGCCTTTCCGGCTCCGGGGTGGGGGAGGGGCGGCGGGGAGGCGTGGGGGGCCCGGCCCGGGGGGAGGGGACGGCCCGGGGGCAGGCCGGGGGGCCGCTACTTTGTTGCGGGGGCCGGGGGCGGGGGTGCTACGGGTCACAGTGTAGCGGAGCCGGGCGGGGGCGGCGGGGCGGGGCGGGGGCTGCGGAGCCGCCGGAGCCGAGCGGCCGAGGCCCCAGAACAAAGGAGCCCGAGCGGCGGCGCGCGCGCGGCCCGGCCCGAGCTGGAGCGCGCCCCCCTCCCCGCGCCCCCTCGGCGGAGCCGGCCACCCTACCCCATCTGGCCGGCGGGCGGGGGGCGCGGCGGGGCGGCCCGCGCGGGCTAGCCCGGGCGCGCCCCCCCTCCAGGCCGCTTCCGTGCCGGGGGCGCCCGGGCAGCCCCGCCGAGGGAAGCGCTCAGCAAACTTTATTTTGTAAGCTCTGCTCCCATGGGGAGGGCCCAGCGACCTCCAGTGACTGCTCTGTGTGGGAATTTTGGTGAAACTCAAGCAAGCCCGTGGGGCTGGGGCAGAGGACAACTTTCTTAAAAATCTTACCTTGACCACCCCCTTAAATTCATGGTCCAGGTCCCTTCAGCCCCCAGTCAAGCCCTGGACCTCCTCACTCAAACAGGGAGCGGGTGCTGGTGCGCCCTGCCAGAGGTTTTGCGCAGAACTTCATTTGAGCAAGCCCCTTCTCTTCCCCCATTTTCTGTTTTCCCAGAAGCAGGAAGAGGTAACATGTGAAAGTTGTGCCTGAGCCCCGAGTGATGCGCTTCCCCTTTCTGTCTCTTTTCAGGCAGCGCTGCCTTCTCCATCATCCTGACCCTGGAGGAGAAATACCGGGAGGAGAGACTCCTCACCCTGCCCTGCCCCAGCACGCACCCACCTGCTCACCTCATGCCTGGGTCCAGGGCGGGTGAGGGTGAAGAACCCACCCAGCCAAGATGATCCCTTCCCTGGGGACTGCTGCTGTTGTCCTCCCCCAGATCCTGGGAACCAGCAGGTGGGAGAGTGGCCCCCAGCTGAGCCCTATCAGACTGCTACAGAGAAGGTGAAGAGGGGTTGAGAAGAGGCGCCCATCCCGGAGACTGGAGCTACTTGCCTTCACCCTTGCAGACTCTTGACTGTTTTAGAAGAGAAAGACCTGTTGGTGGCCTTGGCAGGCAGGAAGCTGGACTGTGGCTCTGCCCTGGCACCTATGCCCCTACCTCTGGCAACGTCATGAGCCAGTTTCAGGTGCCCCTGGCAGTCCAGCCAGACCTGCCAGGCCTTTATGATTTCCCTCAGGGCCAGGTGATGGTAGGGGGCTTCCAGGGGCCTGGGCTCCCAATGGCCGGGAGTGAACCCCAGCTTCGAGGGGGTGGAGATGGGCGAAAGAAACGGAAACGGTGTGGTACTTGTGAGCCCTGCCGGCGGCTAGAAAACTGTGGGGCTTGCACCAGCTGTACCAACCGTCGCACACACCAGATCTGCAAACTGCGCAAGTGTGAAGTGCTGAAGAAAAAAGTCGGGCTTCTCAAGGAGGTAAGCTGGCCCTTGCTCGGCTGCCCCGTCCCTCGAGGGTGCTGTGTTCATAGGGGTCTTGCTAAAGACAGTTAAGCCCTTACTCCCGTTTTGATCCTATGGATCCAGCTTTGCCTGGGGCCGTGTGTAGGAATGTAACTGTCATTGGAATCTGGCTTGGGCTCCTTCGCCAGGTTGAAAATTTGTGAGAGAGTCACTGGGCCGCAGAAGGCTCTAAGCTAGCCCTCATCGCTGATGTTTGCATTTGACGCGGGACCATGATATCCAGCTCTGTCTCTGGAAGTTTCTTGTCCTGCTTGAAGCCTCAGGTGTTTTTCAAGGTGCCACTAATGCTTGGGTTACATGGGGGAATTGTGGTGTCAGGCAAGCGATGGAGGCTGATGGATTTGGAAAAATTTGGAGTGACAGGGTGGTTTTATGTTGCCCTGATGGAGTGGGATGTTTCTTTCCCTAAATCTTTTTTTGGGTACCCTCATTTTTCTCAGACGGCAGGAGAGCCAGTTGAAATGGTTTGGGAGTTTAATAAGAAGCCCATGATTTGGTTTCCCCTACTAGACTGAATACTTCTTGAAGTCAAAGACCATTTATCACTGTGTGTTCAGGACCTGGCTCAGTTCCTTGGCGTGTAGTAAGCACTCAGATACCAACTGACTGAGTGAATGATGTGCTGTTGAGACACTGTCAATCCCAGGGAGGAGTACTCCCTTTATTTGGGGCAGACGTAGAGAAAGGGAGGGAGGAGTTGGGATGAGAACAGAGGAGGGAAATGGAGAGGCAGTGACCCTGCGTTGGCCATCTTTCCCTTCCATCCTGGTGGCGGGCTGCCGGCACGAGGTTGGTGGCAGCCGCGACAGCAGAGAGTTGGCAGAAGTAGGGACGAGTGAAGTTGAGCAGCTTGGGAGGAGCGATGTAGCGGCTGAGGTCGCTCCAGGCAGCGGAACTGGCGCTGGACAGAGACGGAGGCCTGCGCTGTCTGCAGGGCTTTCCCGCTCTGCCACTGATTTGTCCAAGGGCTCAGACAACTCAGGCCCCCTCTCTGGGCCTGTCTTCTCCCTGGGGAAATGAAGGGGTTGTGCTTGATGGCCTTTGAAGCCCTTTCCAGCTGGGCTGGGAGCCGCTGTGCTTCTGAGGGCCAGGGCACCTGTGGCTTCGAAGGGCTGGCGGCTGGCGCTCGGGATTTCCCTGACCACTGCTTGCAGGGCTGTGCCGTGAGCGTGGTGGGGCAGTGGTCTCATGAGGATCCAAGTGTAGGGGGCAGGGGAGGGGTGTTACTGCGCTGTTTCTGCCCCTTCTTACCTTCTCTTGTCCACTCCCTGAGGAAGCTGCATGTCATGACCCAGGGACCACAGACTCAGTGCCCTGTTTCGCCTGTCTCTGTCTGGTTAAAGCAGACATCTGGGTCACATTTGCAGCTCCCCACCCCAGCCTGGGAGACAGTGTCCGCCACTTACGTTGCTGGTGTTGGGGGGAGTTGGCATCCTGCTGCCCTAGTGCCCTGTGGGTCGTTTCTGAAAGAGGGGTGGGACCAGGGATAGGCTTCGCTCCTGGGAGTGAGGTCTGGTGTTTTGGTGTAAGCTTGGTGCCTTTGCTTCCTCCCTTCCAGTGCTCACCCCCTTCTCCACCCCTGTCTCATTCCGTTCCTCCCCTAATCAAACCCGAGGCGTAGGGGGGCTGAGCTTTCCGGGCTGGATGTTCCTGGAACGAGATGCCCTTGTGAACCGTGTTTAACTCTTCTTTGGGCAACGACGAGGCATACCTGAGTGAAAGGGGCTGGAGGGAGGCCAGGGTCCTGTCATCCTTGTGTGTAAGCTGCCGGGTGGTCGTGGTTAAGATACCGGGGATCTGGGTTGGCTGAGGCTTCGAGCCAACCCTGCTGAGGGACGTCTGCCTGCCTGCGGACCTTGCCATGGCTGGCTGCCCCTCTAGATGCCTTCGTGTCGGGGAAAATGCGGCTGGTGGCCTGTGCTATCCCAGGACAGGGTCCATGTGCTGGTCCGTGGAGCAGTGCTGGCCCGTGACAGAGTTCTCCCAGTCTCCAGAGAAACAGTGGAAAGCGGACATGGGGTGAGCTTTTTTTCTTAAAGCTAACTTTCTTTGATTTAAAGAGCAGTACTTCGTTTTAAGGATAGGTCCTTTCTACTTCTTGATGTTTAAAATGTTCTTTCTTTTCTGAAAGGAAGGTGTTGATAGAACCTTGATAGAATGTAGATTTTTTTTTTTTAAGTCTTTACTTGGCAAAATCCAAAAGGGCAACTAGTGTCTGTCTCCACAATTTTTTTATTGGTCCGTGAAGGCTGAAAGCGTGGGAACCACTGTCCGGGCTACCCTGCGCTTAATGAAGGTCTCTCTGGCGTAGGCGCGTAGCTGAGACACACCCAGGAGGCTCTGCCTGAGTGAGCCCTGAGAACCAGCCTGGCGTTTACGGCCCCTCAGGGGACTGCTGGGACCTTAACCATTAGATCCGAGCAGCCATGTAGCAGAGAGAGATTGGGAAAGGGGGAGACACATTCCTGGCATCTGAGTTTTCTTTGGTTTGGGCTCAGGAATAGAACTTTAGAAGTTGGCCCTGACTCTTCAGATGGGATAAGACACCGCATCCCAGGAGGCTCTTGGGAATCAGACCATCTCCTTGCATCTCTGTTCCCTGGGTTTCCTCTGCTGGGCACCCTTTCCTTACTCCCATCCTGTCTGCACCTCTCCTGGCTCCCTTTGAGCTATCTGCTGACAGCTGCTTGGTATCATCCTGTAAAGGGGAGAATGCAATCTTGAGTTTCCCATCTTCCTTCCCTGCTCTTCTCTATTCCCAGTCGGGGGACAGTGGGGGTGTTGCTGTGGAGCCCCTCTACTCAGAAGAAACGGTGCAGCGTTTTAAGACTAGAGATGACTCCCGGCAATGAGCCCTTCCACCACAGAGGCAGGTGGCTACATCTCTGGGTCCTAAAGTGAGATACCACACCTGAGGAGATTCGTTCCTGTACTGTGGTTCCAGTTCCAGGAAGGGTTTAGATCCTGGGCTGATGTCAGAGGCTGTTTGACTTCCACATTCTGTTTCCCTGAGTATTGGCATGGAATACAACGAAGATGGCTGACTGAAAAAGTCAGGTTTGGTGGTTGTGGAGACACAGTAGGCCTTAGAACCCAAAGTAAGCACCGTGCCACCTACTCTCTTGAGATCGGTTTTCTCCTTTGTAAGATGGGGGAACCCTTCTTTGCAGGGTTGTTGTGAGGGTTGAGATAAAATATGCATAATGTCTGGCACATAGTAGGTAACCCAGTGTATGTGGCAAAACAGTCCTAGAATGTCTAGAAAAAAATTAATCTTTGTGCATAAACAATTGCACACATATGCAGTTAGTTTCTGAGTCGTAATTGTAAAGATGCAATACGAAATAAGTGTTTATCTCAAGACATCCTCTAGCTTACTCAGAGCACAACCCTGGGGCCAGGCAAAGGGAGTTAGGAATTGCTAGTCTCTTTGCTGAAGGAGGCAGCTGGACATCCAGGAGCAAGGAGCTGCTGTGGTCCTGGACCTGAATGAAAAGTTGCTCCTGGGTGAGGAAGTAAACCTGATAGGGAGGGTAGGAGAATAACCCTTTGTGGAAAAAAACCTGCATAGAAAAATGTAAGCCTAAGATTGGAAGCAAGACTGAGAACATTGTGGGTAAAAAATTGTAGAGAAATAGAAATATATATGGTGTCAGAACACTGTCAAGCTCACAGCCAAGTGGCTTTAATGGCTGAACCAGATCTCTGTGCCAATTCTGAGACAGGATAGCTTGGAATTGGGGATCTCTCAAAGATAGGTGAATACCTGATGAATTCCTGCCTCGCCTGCTGGTAGTCTGTCTTCTTGAAGACGGAGGGTGTGAGGAGGAATGCTTCCCACCAGCAAAGGGAGAGTCAATGGGTGAAGTAGAAGTGATGAGACTCTTTAGAGAAAAGACCCCATCTTGGCCCCATTTGTGAAGCCAGAGAGAAGGCTGGGCAGGAGAGGTGTTCACCAGAGACTTTAGAAAATTGTTTTTCAAATGCAAACAGTTTTTAACCCCATGACCACAGACTCTAAAAGGGAAGTTAGCTGGAGGGATAGCTTTGCTCTTTCAAAAGGCAATGCTGACAGAACAGCCCTGAATGGTACCCTAAGGAGGAAGGTGGTGGGACTGGGGAAGAAATGAGTCATCTGTGGGGCTGCATGGGCTGCTGTCTAGTGAGTGCATATGGTAAAAGACCATGCTCCCTGTGTGGAGAAGGGGTGTGTGTCACTGAAGGCAGATTCAAGAGTGGTCTGACCCCTTACGAGGAGCATCAGGAAGTCCAGCGGCCAGAATGTGCTGAGATTGGTGGAAAATACTCAAGACAATAAAAGTCTTACACATTCCCAGCAAGAACGAGAAGGAAGGGGTTGGCTTACAACTTCGGGGAGCAAAACTAGTGACAGAGGGAGAGCAGCCAGTGGGTCCCTGTCGTGTTAGGTGGTATAAACTGAGGAAAGACCACAGCATGTGTGGTTGGGAAAAGAGAACCAGCCTGCCGCCCTGGGTCTGAGTCATTCACTCCCTACTGAACACCTTCGGATATGCTCTCTGACACCTGTACAGAATTATGATGGTTCAAAGAGGGCCGAAAGACAAGAGACAGGCAAAAAGTTCAATTTTTGAAAGAGATTTTGGGAATTTTGAACGTGTAAGCTTGATGTCAATTTTTGACAGTTCTAGAGCGGATTTTTAAAAAGGTGGCTTGTGGGACTTTAGAAAGGTGAGTGCTGAGCTTTAGGGGTGCCTGTGGTTCTTTACAAAGCAGCCCAGTCAAATTAACGGATCTGGATTTCTGCAAATAGATGGTGGTATCTCCTACCAGCTTCTTGGTCAGATCAGAGGGCCAGTTTTTTATTTAAAGTCATCCTGAAGAGAGGGCACTGGTATAGCTGTCCTGTTCAGACTTTATATCAACCATGTAAATCGGGGGTTCCACATTAGGATCACCTGGGTGCCACCCCAGGG